TGCTGTTTGGACAAACAGTCAGAGTTCATCAATGTCAGACAGTTGGACAACAGTTCAGTTTATATGAACACTGTAGTTCAACCAGAAACACTGCCTTGCAGCTAACACGTTCAAAGAATTTTGGCTAACATGTAAGAACTTTAGAACAAAAACATTCGTTTTGAACGTTCAGATTACAAAGCAAAACATTATTTGAACATATTTTTTATTTCAGCTAACTTCATCACTGAACACAGGCCGGTTGACTTCCTCAGGTTTCTGCGTGTTTTTGTGTTGATGATGTCGTAAACCAGGTGTGTGTTGGGGGAGCGATGCGTGTTGATTTATTATTGGTTCGAGGGTGAGGCCAAACTTGGGTGATTTTCATGCTAGTTTATGATGACAGCATATATTTGATGTGCCAACTCAAAACTCATGTTACACAGAGTTCATTTCAGGCTGCTATTTTTTTTTTATCAGATCTGCTTATTAAATGAGGCTTATATTTCAGACTGTATAAACTGGTGAATGTCGGTGGTAAACATAACACTTCAAGTAACTGTTTGCTTTTGTTTTTCAGAGCCACTAAGTGCCTATTAATGCCCACCTGAACAAAGTCCATGATTAGTGAAACCATACAAAATCTAGCCAGATGACTATCACACTCAGGAGATCTGTAATACACAGGCATGTGCACATTAACCCTTGAAATACAGCAGGTGTTTTACTGACCAATGCTAGTTGTGTTTAAAGTCAGCATCACTAGTCTTACAGAGTACAACAGTCAGGTTCCAGAAGTAAAATCCCATTCATTTTTAATGATTACAAGATAGACCTACTTGGACAAGGCTCGAAATTGCGACCATTTTGGTCGCATATGCTCCCGAAATTTAATCTGTGCGAGCTGCAAGGTTGTTAATCGATGATATGTTTTTGTTGAAACCATTGGTCTGCATTATTTAGGCTTGTTTTTTAAACAATTGTGTATCACAATGGAATTTCATGGTGAAAAAATACATTACCAATGATTCAGCAAAGAAATCTCCACCAATCGCTGCAAAAGAGTTCCCCAGCGCCCACCCACTCAAATTAAAGCACTGCAAATCACACACACACACACACACACACACACACACGTATGTATGTTATGCATTTATTTATAATGAACTTCTTTTTCTTCTATTTTTATATTTCTCCATATTTGATTATGTCTTTGCAATGCTTCATTTCCCTCATTAAAGCCAATAAGACGAATTAGGAAAATGAATGGGAAAAATACTTTTGGATGGGCACTAGCTGCATTTCCATTATAGATTTGCACAAAACTTTAGCGATATTTTATAAATGTTGATAAAAAAAGTATTGCATTTCCATTAACCGATGTTATGCGATGTTATTTTTTCCTTTCCCGATGGATTTTGGTAGGGTTAGGCCTACGTATATCGCAGCCACTGCGCTAGCCATTATATTTAATTGAAGGAGGCGTATGCGTCTGTCTTTACAGAAGCAGCGTGGAGAGCCGCTTCTGAAACATGCCGTGTGGCGTGGCTGGTATACACAAGCATTGATTAGATCAGCTCCGACGGCTGTCAGAGCAGTAACTTGCCGCAGATGTGTGCAGTGTAAATTGTCTAAGCATTAAAGGTAGGGTATGTAATTTTTCAAAAACACTTTAGAAAACTGATTCGGGCCGAATAGCAAAACAAACTTGTAGCCAGTCAGCAATAAGGGGCGTGTCTACTCGTGATGTGGAGAGAGAGGGGCCACGTATGAAGTGTTTCTTGGAGGTTATAGTACATTGAAGAATGATCATATGACTTTTTCGTATGCCATGTGACCTGAAAATGCGAAAAAACAAAAACATTTCCATTGCAGTTTTGCGAAATATTCCTTTTTGAATTGGCTGAAAAACCACCTCATGCAAGCATAAATTTGTTTTTTTTGCGATATATGGGTGTTTCTGCGAAATTGACGCGTTTCCATTAGCCATATTTTCAATTCGCAATTTCAATTTGTGCAACTCTATTGATAATAAGCAGAACTAGTTTTTGAACAAACCCTTGAAGTATTCAAGACTTTCTTGCATTCTTAGTGCTATGGGCATAAACGATACCTCAAGACACATTTTTTTTTTTGTATTGTTACTTTTCTAAGCAATAATACTTGATGTTTATCAGGTGGTTGATAAAGGGTAAAATGGGCATAGACTGACATTGTAAAAGGAAGCTGAGCCATATGTAAAGACTAGATTATTTGATTCTTTTGACTTGAGCCTTTAAGTCAAAAGCAATCTATTCAATAGCAACCTAGCAATCACCCACAATAACCTAGAACTGAGTTTTGCACAAGCACACACCACTCACATTTTCCTCAGAAAATGTAAAAATCCTCTTTTGTGTTTCATGTATGACACACAAAAGTAATGATATCTACTTGAAGACATCTGAGAGGAGGATTTCACAATCTTGTTTTTGAAATTCATGCCATAGTCCAGAGTGGGTTCATAGATGAACACCTGATTCAAGAAGACATGCAAATTGCATGTGACCATACTTACAGTTTACACGCCTAAACACATATCTGTGGGTCTCCCTCGACCCCAACGCACAATCCATTTGTGTTCAGAGGCCTGTCAGAGCACAAACCATACAAACGTGACACAATCTATCCATTATTCTACAAACACAGAGTCGCATTTCATTATATTTACATGTATAATGCAGGAATGCAAGTGTGTGTGAGCTCACTGAAGTTACACACACACATTCTTGGCCCACCATATGCTTCATTGAGAGTTAATTCTGACAGTTCTGATCCTCAGATTCAGACCTCACAGCCAGAGCATTCTGGGATTGAACTCTCACAGGCTGTGTTCAGAATGGAAGAATGGAAGCATACTTCTTACTGTGCAGTGTACACTGTATACTGCCATATATTTTAAATAGTATGTGAATCAGAAAGTTATTATTGTTGAACAATAAACATTTCAAATATGATAATTATTGAAAATTGGATATTACTTCTGGTTCTTTCATCTCTCTGGAAATGGAAAGTCAAGTTGAGACCAATGCATTGTGGGATACAATATTTCAAACACACTTTCATGGCATTTCGTAACTATTTTACATTTTGGCTAAAATAGTCATTCATATTCATTTGTACAGTCTCATACATGTTTAAATACGATCTGCTTACGCCCCACTGATGGTTAGATTTAGGTAGTGGACATTCATGCTTAGAAAAACCATACATTTCCATACAAATTCAAACGAAATGGCCACTTCATTAAATAATTACTTTTTCTTCAGATTTCCAAGCCCTTCCTGGATCAGGTTGATATTTCACTCACTGTGCTCTACTGTATACATAAATTTTTGGCAAATGTTATTCCATGTTTACAGAAACTGTACATTCTGTGCACAGTATGCATACTGCATAAACAGTAGGTACAGTAGTATGCTAGTATGCTATTCGGCACACAGTTTTAAACAGCTTGTGGTTTTATACAACAAAACCTGAGTTTCAATTACTCATTCACACAAGTCTGGACTCAAATCACTTGCTTTTGAAAACGTCCAGAGGGAACACCTGAAATGTGCAAGAATGCTGAGTAATTAAGTAGTCATTCAGCGGATGCTTTTATTCAAAGCGACTTACAGCACAGGGTCAGTCCTGTGAGGTTAAGAGTCTTACTCAAGGGCATACAGGTGACAGTTCATGGCTCAACCCTTGTGGGATTTAAACCAAACGCCTTTAATTACCAATCCAGATCATTCACCACTAAATCACACTGTTTGGATTGTGAGGGAGAGATGTTCACTCAAAGAGTCTTCCAGAAATACACTGCCTCTCTAGTACAGAAATAATAAATCACACCAAGGCGCGAGCCCATGTGTGTTTCTGACTCTCTTTCCCGGTCAACAAGTTGGATGAAGTCCATTTCTGTCAGGGCCACTAACGTCAAAGATGACTGACAATTAGCATAAAGTTTGGATTGACGGTATGGTTCTGTTCTGGGCAAGAACTCACTGTGCATCCATGCAGCCTAGCATGGATGAGAGCAAGGAGAGCAGCAATAAACCCCCTGGGGTAACAGAACAGAACCAACATAAATGTATTGCATATATCATATATATATATATATATATATATATATATATATACATATATCAAAGTAG